CTTTTAATTATATGGCGTATTGTGCTATTTTTAGTTATCTGTTACAATCCTGATAGTTAAGTGTAATTTTATAAAAATCAAATATATGAACTTATCTAAATCAAGTACTGAACTGGCCTTCCTTATTTCAGATAGCTCAACATACTATCTTTTTGCATATTTTTTTTTTTCATGTTTAGCAGTACTGTGTTTTTCCCTTACCACTGGTGGTTTATTTTTAACTTCTGAGTATTAAGCTGAAAGTCATGATATATTGCCAGTGTCTTTACTAAGTTACCATCAGCCATGTAATTAGAAGTAATTTGAAGTGAGATCTGTTCAAGTTCAAGCTACTCAACTTCAAGTCATCAGTGTTATAGAAATTAAGTGTGTTTACATGTTGGTACATTTTGATAAATTCAGTAGTCTGCTTTACAGCATGGCCCCACAAAGGAGTTATTTTAGAATAGTTATCAAGAGAACAAGTGAGTGAAGCCACATAGTGGTGTACTCTGTGACTGCATCCTTCCACTTACGGGCTTAATAGTGATGCTTAAATATCAGACTCCATTTTCTAACATGGCAAAATGCACCCATTCATTTTTCAGTTAAACTTATTTCTGTATCCACCCTGAAAATCAGGAGTTGGTCATGGATGAAGATCTAGAGAGTAATTATGAGAAAGAAGAGATTCTCTTTTGGCTCAGTGATAAGTTGCTTCCCCCACACTGTAACCTTAGTTATACAGAAAACGAGTGCATTGCAGATAAATAGGTAGGAAGGGTATCTTTAGGCTTAAAACTAAAGTTATAAAAAAGTTCCAGAAGCTGAAAGCAGGTACAAAAGTGCTCATTGGTCAAAGCGTTTTTATGATCTCAATCAATCTCTAAAAATCAGCCTTAACTAAGTTTCGTATTAGAGTAGCTACTTGAGTGACTAAGATGACACATGTATTTCAGGACTAAAATCACAAAGAGTGCTTACAACACACAAGCGATTTTATCAATTCAAGCAGAGACTGGGAGCCAGGGATTTGTAGACATCAGATGATGTACAGGAAGCTTCAGTGTGGAGCACTGAATGCCTCTGTTTCATTCATTGAATTACTTGTGGTTTTTTTCATCTGAAATAGAATTGATCCCTAGTTGCAAAATTTTGATAGTAAGTACAGCAAGTGCCGTATTTTTCATATTTTAAATTTTAAGAGAAACCAAACAGTTAAACTTCCTTTTGTATTATGAATATTATTGAATATGACAAGCCGAAGAAAATATTTGCATTTATATTAGAAAATTGTGAGAGATTCTTTATTATGTCTTATTCCTTTATTACATACTTATTCTTGTACAGAAACTTTAAAATAAGAAGATGTAGTGTCCTTTTCAGTTATTTAGATCCACCTGTTTACTATTAGTTTCATTCTCTGCTGTGATCATCCTATTCCTGGAAGGGTGAAATTCAGCTGGGATAAGTGCAGTTGTGCCCTTGTGCTGGGTTTGTGTGTATGGCAGGGGTTTCTGGTAGCAGTGAAGGGGACTGTAGCAGTGGCCCCATGTGAGAAGCTTCTTGAAGCTTCCCTGGCTCCAAGTTTTAACCAACGTCTCTGTGCCAAGGCCAAGCCAATATGTGCCTCTGCAATAACATGTTTAAAAAGGGGAACCTGGGAGAAGGAGCGGGAGTTGTGTAGATGAGTTCTGAGGGAGACACCTGTGCAAACACGGTGGTCAGTGAAAGAAAGGAGGAGAGTGGGGGGAGATGCACCAGAGGAGAGACTCCCGTGTGGCCCATGGTGAGAGGGCAAGCCACCCCCTCTGCTGCCCATGGAGGTCCACAGTGGAGGAGATGCCCACCTACAGCCCATGGAGGACCCCATGTCAAAGCAGGTGTCTGTGCACAAAGAAGGCCATGACTTTGTGGGAAGAAGCCTCCATTGTTGTAGTTCAGCTCTGGAAGGATTGCAATACGCAGAGGAGTTCCATGCTGGAGCAGTTCGGGGAGGGCTGTGACCTGTGGGAAGGACTCACATAGGAGAAAGTTCATGGAGGACTGTCCTCCGCGAGAGGCAAACCACATTGGAGCAGGGGAGAATGTGTCCTGGTTGGGGCTGGACTAGAGTTCCCGTTGGTCTGGCAGCGGGAGGAGTGCTGCAGCACCCTGAGACCCCAGGGGCTCCCCAGGTCCCAGTGCCCTCACCTGTGTGCGGGGGCGGGGGGAGCACAGCTGGAGGGCTGGGCCCCGATCGGCCGATAGTCCATGTCATGTGACATTACGCTCACTATATAAAGGCAGGAGCGGGCTGGGAGGGGCTCTCACTTCTGGGAGTGTGGCTGTGGGGCCTTTGTGTTTGGGATCACCAGCTGGGAGCAGGTGGGTGTTGGTCGGCGGGGGGTGAGCAGCTGTATTGTACATTACCTGCTGATACTGCTGTCAGTGTATTGTTCTGTCACTGTTATTAAACTGTTTTTATCTCAACCTGTGAGTCTCCCTTTGCCCCTCCGATTCCCTCCCCATTCCCAAGTGGAGGGAGGGTGGGTGAGCGACTGCGGGGTGACCAAGGTCAAACGACAACAGATTGTGAGGAGTCCTCCCCCTGAGGAGGAAGAATCAATAGGACTGAACACACACACACACACACCCATTCTCTGCCCCTGAGCTGCCAGAGGGGAGGAAGTAGAGAAACTGGGAGCAAAGCTGAGCCCTGGAAGAAGGGAGGGGTGGGGGAAAGGTGTTTTTAAGATGTGAAAATGCATCTCATTGTCCCACTCTGTCTGTTAAGTGTTGTTGTTCTTAGTGTCTGAAATAAATGTATGTTCTTTTTTGCATGCCCTAATGAGTCTTTTGCCTGTGACTGTAATGGGTGAGTCATCCCACCCTGTCCTTACCTGGATTCCTGAGCCTTTTGCTGTATTTTCTTCTTCCCATTCCTGAGGGGGAAAGGGTGAGTGAGCAGCTGCATGGTGCTCATTTGCCCTCTGAGCCCAAACCACAACCCTGTCATACCAGATGCATCAGGTTTGATTGCTGTTTGGGTAGAGACATTCACATAGATAGCTGACTGCATGTGATTCGAGTGACTACCGACTTTTGAAGAGATAAGAGTTAAACAATTATCTTTCACTCTTAATCTGTTTCACTGTATCTGTGATATGAAGTGCCAAAAGTGGTCAGCTTTGATTTTTCAATAACTTTTCTATGAAAAAATATTTTTAAAAAAATTTTCTAGAATTGGAGTCTCTCCTTTGGCTTGCTTGTTTTAAAATGTTGCAGTTTATCAGAGTAGAAACCAAACTACTTAGCATCTTATCTCAGAAATCTCTATGTGAAAACAACAAAAAAACTTACGTGCAATATATTTGTCATTTGTACATTTAACCATTCCCCATTGCATTTGCTTCTTAAATATGCTTTTTACCATCCTGTTTTTTACAGCCAAACAAAATTCTGAGCCGTTCCTTCTGTTGGCTTTGGAGAAGCAATTGCTAACCCTAGAAATGGTTCTGCTTGTAGAGTCCTTCAGCTTTCAATAAAGAAACTGAGTACTATGCAAAAAAAATTATATTTCACATGCATATGTGTCTGTGATTCAAAGACACCAGACTTTAGGCTCTATGGTTTTGGCAAAGAGTGAAACTGAAAAGACCAGTTTCAATGGGATGGTTATTTTTAATGTTGCATGATATCTGATGCTTTTAAGACACTTTAAGCTATGATTAAAGACATATTTTTGCTATCCGGTCTCATAGTGGTGGGTGGGATATTCCTCCTGCTACACTGCTAAATGCATTTAAATCAATCTGGTCACATACTCAGAGTTCCAACCATATTGTAACCCTGTTTAACACAAGCCTAACTGTGGTCTGATGAGGCTTATCTCCCTTGACCCCCTGTCTAGGCTGTGGTAGAAACAATTCACAGCCTGCAACAAATAATATAGCAATACAGTGCAATGATTCAGGTTTGTGTGGTAACACTATGTAATAACTTGCTTACCTCCCTTACTTGCAGCCACTCATTGCCACAGTTTGACCAGTACAACTGTGTGTGTGGCTGCTGTTTATCTTAACCAGCAGAATGACTGAGTTTAGGTTTCTAAATGCCCTTTTTTATTTCTGTAAAGTGCTCACAAACTTTACATGGAATCAGGCTTGGGAGAAGCATTTTACCAGTAATAGGCTGGCACCATTTTAATGAAGTTTTCTTAAAGATTGGGAATGTGAAACAAGTTGATGGCAGATTTTAAAGGTACCAATGTGAGCTACATGCTGGAATCCAGTACCTATGTTCCTTCTGTACCTACCCACCATCTGACTCATGAAAACTCTCTGCAGCTTCTAAACCTACAGCCAGACATATTGCTATTGGCTCAGGAAAACTGTCCCATAGATTCAGGCAGATCTGTGAAGTGTTGAGCACAAAACAAAACCTTTTCTAAATTATTAATGTAAGATTTTGCTTTTCTGGAGACTGCCATTAGCAACCAGGAAGATTTACATACTTAATCACAAGCAAAGTAATTAAAGCTTCACTTCTGTTTACTTCTGAAAGTTACATTCTTAATGTGCTATGTTTATTATTTCCATTTACTTTCTATTTAGACAAACAATCTGTGAAGTAATCAGTAGGCCAATCAAATATTCTGTGTAGGAGTGACTTGATGAGGTGAGTTGGGTACTGCAAGAGGTCAAAGTTTACAGCAAGAGACTGTTCCCTTATCTGGGTTAGGAGGTTTCTAGCATTTGTAGACATTATGACTTCTTGTTAAGGTTAAAGCTTGAACTAAGAACCTTAGTTGGCCAGCTTTTCTTCAGTGCTGTGTTAAGTAAGATCTCACTTCTCTTCTAGCTGGAATAAAGCTGTGCCGAAACAGTGTCATCATTTATGATCTCAGTTTAAAGAGAAGAAGGAAACTTTTGCTTCTTTATAGTGTAAAATGAAATGCATAATAGATAAAATAAGTTTACAGAATTTATTCACATGTAGTTGCATGAGAGTTTCTTAATACACTTTTTCTATTTTTGCAGCTACTGGCTGACAAACAAGGTCCACATTAAACGACCCAGCACTGGTCTCCTCATGTATACGCTTGCCACCAGATTTTGTGATGAGATTCACCTGTATGGATTTTGGCCATTCCCAAAGGATTTACATGGAAAACCAGTCAAGTATCACTATTATGATGATCTGAAGTATCGATACTTTTCTAATGCCAGTCCTCATAGGATGCCCTTAGAGTTTAAAACATTGTATGCATTACATAACAGAGGAGCACTTAAATTAACAACAGGGAAATGTGTACAGCAATAAAGCACATGTAAAGTACAATAAGAAGTACAGAGTATACACTTCATCATAAAGATGTTGTGCAATGGCAGTGGGATCCCAGTGAGGATGTTTCAATACCCACTGAGCCATCAGAAAAAAGAATTTTATCAGAAGTACATAGCCAGCTATTATACCTGTAAAGTGCTATATAACTAAGCTATCTTGACTGCAAGGTTCAAGTAAGTGCCAATTTGACTACGAACAAAGCTTGAATGTATACTCAATAGTGTTTACAGGATCCAGTGACACATTCATCATTAATTAAAGAAGAAAAATATATCCTGCTGACTTGCCACTGTGGTCAGACAGCGACAGAAGAAATCCTCGGTGGACAGAATATTTTCTTGAGCAAATAAAACAGGCTTTTTGGCAAAAAAAGATAAAGATGGAATTGAGTAGAAAAAGTGAAGTCCATAAGGTCAAACAAATCCATAAATGCCTTCAGTCAGAGGAGTGTTTCTGGTCTTGTGTTATAATCTCAGCTTTTGTTGCTCTTTTTCTTACTGCTATTGGTTGGGTTTTGTTGCTTTTAAGCATTGGAGCCCATAATGGATTTTGATGTTTTTATGAGTAATTAAAAGTATATATCTTATGGAACTGTCTTAGGTAAAAAATTCATGAGGGTGAGGGAAACATCAAATATTTTATCAATTGTTACTGTGTTGTATCCTGCTGTCACACAACACTTAACATCCCAGTTGTTTTTCTAGTTACTGCTGTCAATACTGACTACGTGGAACCACTCAGAGGTCATTTTGATCCATTTTTAAAAAGAAGTTTTTCTGTTGTGTTCAGTTTTGAAGACATATGAGAAGGTGTCATTATTTTTGGTACCAAAGATTACTCATACACATTTTTTCCTTTCTCTGAAGAAATGGTATAGATTTAATATGATGTTTCCTTGCTGCTGAAGGGAACATATTCTTTATGTTATTTAAATTTTTGAATTAAGCGTCTGAAAGCAAAGCCTCTTTACTGACTTCACATACAGAATTTCATTCTTCAGAAAAATCTGCAGGAGTACAGAAATTATTTTATGTATTCATATATAAATATATATATACACACAATTTTTATTTCTGATTGAAAGGAAAACACAAATTCTAAAGGAACTCAAGTGACATTGGAACACATCTAAAGAAAAAAAAGACTTAACCAATTAAATGGAAAATAAAAGAACTGTAGATCAAACAGTTCTTTTTAAAACTTAAATTTCTAGTGGTGTTGGATGATATGTCTACCTCTTTGTATCAGCTTGATGTTCTGATGTGTAATTGGCTGAAGTAACAGAGCTGCATTATCTTACAGTGATTTTTCTGAGCATCATTCTTGATAATACACAAAAACAAGAATTCTTTCACTCCTTTCAAAAAATAGAGCAAGAAATTACAGGAGGGTGAAAGAGGGTGGAGTGTCAGTACAGCACATCCTGAGATACAAAATGTGTCTGCTTATGCTATGTTTTAATGATAATGGAGAAGGTAAATGAAGAACACCATGATTCCACCATTTTCATGTCAGACTAGGCTAAGGAGGGGGCATGTATGGGTATTTTCTTGTTACCCTTTCAGCTCTACATTAGGTCTTCATTTCCAAATACAATATTTGGTGTATCTACTGAATTTTCAACTAGCTTGATCAGTTTCATATATAGCATAACACTCACAAACATTTACTAGCTGAAAGTGCCATTTATTACCCATTTTTCCTAAGTTCACATGTATTTCATCATGCATGACTGTGATTATGCAAATTTAGTGGCTAAATCACTGCCTTTCAGACAGTTTTGCAAAAAGTTGGTAGGAAATAGATGGAGACACTCTAATTCCTAGTAGTAAAAAAAAAAAAAAAATATTACTAGTATAATTTTATAAGTGAAAACAGTGAAACATAAATAGGAAGACAGATCAGCAATTTTGCCGTCAGAAGTCAGCAGATGAAGAAAAATTTGGTCTGAGCCTGTTTTGGAAGGTTCACATTTGATTCTCTGTGAGTGGAGTTAACTTTAGTACACAAGCCATGGAATCCAAATTTTCACCCTATCACTAAATTTGATTGAACAGGGTGATACAGGGCAGTGTTTCTCTGACTTGGTTTGGCACAAGGCATGGCAGTAGCACCTACTTCCAAGACAACGGAGTTTGCCCATGCCTTCTCAAAACTGGGTCTTAACCTGATCTCCTGCAGGCTTTCCACTCTCAATACTGCACACTTCTGGCACCATGAGCCATGGTCACACAGCTCTCTACCATCATCCACACTCATCCCGCTCAGAGCACCCTCCCCTCAAACTGGCACCCAGGTGTACCTCCCTACCAAAAGCACAGGACTCTTCACTAACCTGTCTCCTGTCTCACCTGCCTCATCTTTATCCTGAGCTGAAGTGTAACGTAGTGAGTAGCAGTTTTCAAACCCTTCTCTGAGGCAAGTAGCAGTTGTAGCCTTTGACTGTGCAGGTTTTCACAAGCACAAGGAGTGGTTTTACTCTGTCGGTTTTGTATAAGATCTCTGTCCATGTGGAACCCAAAACGTCTGGGGCTCCCTGGTGTTCAGTTTGTTGTGATGGAAATTGTCTGGTTTGAGGTGGCTCGTGACCACCAGCCATTGGTTAGTCTAGGGTGACCTGAGGTGGGATGTGCCCAGAGCTTTTCTTGTCAGATTACGTGGCCTTGGTTGTTGTCTCACTGCTGGGAAACTGTAGCAGTGGACTCCTTGCAGATACCCTTACCTACCTCTCCCTTATACTTCCTGGCTCTCTGTTGCTCTGGGGCTCTTTGTGCATTTCTGTTGAGGCACCCTAGGTCCTGAATGAAAAAAACAGCTTACTTCCACTGTGTGACTCTTTTTCCCTAATGGTGATCCAGGGCACAGTAACAAAGGCTTTGCTTCTGCATAGGGACTTTCTAGTGGAATAAATTTCTCTTTGTGGTCCTTCACAGGACAGCAGTCAACACCTCAAACCTCCATAGCTGCCTTGGATGATTTTGGTTGTTTATATACATTCACACCTCCAGTGCTGCCTACAGCACAGATCAGATAAACAGGCTTTATTATAACTACAACACATTCAACGCTATTAACAACTAATACCAAGTAGATAGGATAAAAAGAAGGATCTCTAATATTGTTATGATATGATATCTGCAAGTGTTCCTCAAATTTATTCTCACATCTGTCATACCAGTTGCCAACTATGGTTCCTAAATGTGTGTTAAAAATAAGAACTGGGAACTACATCAAGACAGCAGTGAGTGTATAATTTTCCAAAACTTATGGCAGCTTTACATTGAACAGTTTTATTTCATTGAGATAAACATAATGTAAATTGTTTATTAACGTATCTGTTAATGTTTCTGTGCCAGAGAGTCTTTCATAGTTCATAAAAATAATAGATAAATATATTTGATTGTTAAGTGTTCAGCATTGGGACCGTTCTCTCTCCCACAGCTCTGAGCCACTCTCCAGATGTAACATCTACTGAACCTTTCAAACTTCGGATGGTTTACACAATTTGACTTGTAATAAGGACTGTACCATTCTTTTGATAACAATATAAGCAACATATTCTTGAGGTCAGCACTTTTTCTCTAATTGACTGCAATTTGAAGAAAACCAGGTGTGGGTTCAATACCTTTTTTTAGTGTTTAATCTAACAAAGTGCTGAGCACTCTTTACAGTGACTTTCCTGGGAGACACATGTCCAGGATTTAGATGGGGATATAGATTAGCATATTTCAGGATATAACTCTGAAATTGCACATTATTTATTTTTAAGAGCACTGTTACTTTGTGTAAGGAAAAGCACAATTGTTCTAGATATAGATAAAATAAAGGAAGAGCGTTTACAGAGAGCTTCATTCCTTCATAGTACTGTTGCTACTGAGCTGATGTAATACACTTTCTGTGGTTTAAAGTATTGATGTGTATTCTGTCAGGATTGTCAGATTTGACAATGTTAATATTATTTCAAGTACAGCTATGGGGATTGGTTTTATTATTTGTATAACTATAAAATAAAGACCTTTTTTCTTTTTTTTTTTCCTGCTATATTCTGTTCTGTATTCCTTTCTAACACAGTTGTGATAGTATTTTTCAGTTATATGCTAATTGTCAGTATACATGGAAGGAGAGTGTCTGCTCCTTTAATATGTCTTGAAAAGGGGATACTAAGAAAAGGAGGAAGCCATAAACAAGAACAAAGAGAGACACAGACCTGACCAACAAAAAATTACAAGGGAAGCAGCAGTGGGAACCAAACTGATCAGTCGCTCTAACTCGTAACGATATGTGAAGTGTAGGAATATTTATTCTGGTAAGATTATCTGATCAAGGACCTTGTCAAATAGGATACTAAGGAAAAGGGGGAAGCAATAAAGTATATGGAGACACAAACCTGACAGGCAAATCATAATGCAGACAAAGACAAGAAGCCAGCCTTGTCAATCACACTAGTTTAATTCCTGTCAAGAAACTGCAGTCAAATGGGACTTTGCAACTGATAAGGATGCTGACCTGAGAGTCCGGGATGTTGGAGTGGGGGTTGGTGGGACTGCAAACTCATGAGGCTATGTGCAGGGAAGAAAAGAGGAATAGATAGAAAAGGGGCCAGTCGTGTGTAAAGTGTGGCTGGTCAGTATGCTTGTCTGGCTGATTCCTGCACCTGATTGTCACTGTCTGTCTGAACTCCCCATTAAATCTTAACTGCCTGCCTTGTGTAATGTCACTCTCTATCCTGTGGATGTGAGTGCTGCAAGGACTCGGTGCCAGCTGCTGAGGGAGCATTGTGAGAGGGAGTGGGTTCCAGCTGCTTGAGTCAGACCCGGGGTGTGGGCACCCCTGGCCTGTGGTGTTGACTGCTGGAGTGAGTGGGGGGGTCTCGGTCTCTCTCTACAGCTATCTGAAAGGAAGTTCTAGTGAGGTGAGTGTCAATCTCTTCTCCCAAGTAACAAGTGACAGGATGAGAGGCCCATGGGTTCAAGTTGTGCCAGAAGGTTTAGATTGGGAAAGATTTCTTCACTGAAAGGGTTATCAAGCACTGGAATGGGCCGTCCATGAAAGTCGTTGAATCACCATCCTTGGAGATAGTTAAAGGATGTGTTAGATGTGACACTTAGGGACTTAGTGGTGGACTTGGCAGTATTAGGTTAAAGACCAGCTGGCAAGTAGGAGACTGTGGGTCAGGGAAGCGGTCTCAGGCAGGCAGAGGGTCTGTGCTGGTGTGCCCAGGAGGACCCACAAGTGTGAGGTTCTGCGAGGCAAGTGTGTGAGTGCTGTGTACAGTGAGCACTGAGCTGGACCAGCCAGCAAGTTGGATACCTGTGGGGCAGACAAGGGGGCCCAGGATCATGGCAGAGGTGCTAAGCAGGCAGAGGGGCTGTGCCAGTACTCAGGGGATCTGTGAGTGTGTGTGTCCTCGTGAACCCGGAGAGCATCCCGTGTGTGCTGCACTAGTGACTAGTGTCTCTGCCAGCCGAGGAAGAAGAGGGGAGCTGGGCTGTCTACCTTTGTGGTTGTTCAAGTCCTCTGTGGGATTGCTGTTGTAGGCAGTGCCTCTTCTGTGGCAGTGCCAGTGACTGTGTCAGTGTCCTCTTCTGTGGCAGTGCCAGTGACTGTGTCAGTGTCCTCGGAAGCTGTCCTTGTGTCTGTGTGTGTTACAGGGACACGTGCTCAGCTTCACTTCTGGAGGATCCAGCAAATAGGAAAACATCGCCCTCATCCATCAGCCTGGGCAGAGACCCTGGTTGTACCTGGCCCCATTAATATAGTCTATTACAAAATGTTTGAAATGGTTCTCATGAGAGCAAAACCTACCCAGTGAGAGCCAGAATTAATCTCTGTATACACTTCAGAATTTAAAAGAAAATGAAAAAATAGCTTGTATAAATCATATACAAAACTACAAAAGCCATACACAATGCTTTAAAGCCTATTAAATCAATCAGTATAATGTTTCAATCAGTAACAGATTTCTAAACATTTACCAGCCACGATGCAAAAGCAAATACACAACTCCACCCCAGCTACAGAAAGTAGAAAAAAACCTCAACCTTTTCCATAATGAATTTGAAGTTTTTTGTTCTATAATTGAAGATTCAGCCTTCATACACTGTTGGAGATTATGTGTATTTCAATAGTCTGTGACACTCAATATGTTGCTGAGCTGTGTCCTTTTTCATGGCATAGGTACAAGAGGCCGTATTTTGCCAAATTCTGTTTATAGCTCTGTAATATTAATTACATTATTTTAAATTACTGTCCATTTTTACTGGTAAAGTGCTCTCTATTACAGAAAAACCACAAGCATATAATTGATAATCAGTAAAGGTGTGTAAGGAACTGACAGAATCAGTCTCAAGCATTCCTCAATACAGAAGCATCAAGGTCAAGTTGTGGCCTCTGTGATTAGTCTAAGGAATGCTGCCCAGGGAAGGGCAGAGTGTATTGAAGGATGCATGGCCCCACTTCCTTGCTGATGTGCTAAATCCCTTAGATAAGTCTACTGATAAGCTAAAGGCTGGACACTTACCCAAGAAGGAAAAAACTGAGGAAGAAGTAAAGGCAGTAGGAGGGAACAAGACTACCTCGTCTCTCATGGAAATTAGTTCCCAGATGTCATGGTTTGAGCCAAGTCAGCAGCCAACCACCATGCAGCTACTCTCTCCCCCTTCTCTTCTGGCAATGAGAAGGGGCAGATGAGCCAGGCTTGGGGTTCGAGATAGGACTGGGATGGGGAAAAAAATCACACTTTATGGTCACAAGCAAAAGGCAGACTCATTAGGGAAAGAAAAAAAGAACATTGATTTATTAGACACAACATGTAACAGAGTAGGACAGTGAGAAGCATTGCCACATCTTGAGAACACCTTCCCCCCCACCCCTCCCTTCTCCCTAGGCTCAGCTCCACTCCCGATATCTCTACCTCCTCCCTGCAGCAGCAGAGGGGCAGGGAATGGGGGTGCAGTCACTGCTGCTGCTTCTTCCATTTTCAGTGGGGGGAGCTTCTGGAACTTCCTCCCCCTGCTCCAGTGTGGTCCCCCCTCTCACAGGAGACAGTCCTCCACAAACATCCTCCGACATGAGTCCCTCCCATGGGCTACAGCGTTCTCCACACTGCTCTGTCATGGGTCACCAACTTTTTCCAACTGGATTCTCTCCCACGGCTGCAGCCCTTCCCGAGTTGTTCCAGCGTGGGACTCCCCCGCATGCTACAATCCTCCCAGCGTTGAATTACAGCAGCGGGGCTACTTTTTCCCACGAGACCCTGGCCTTCTTCAGGCACAGCACCTTGATCAACCAGGTGAAAAACACAGGCCATAAATCAGTGTCTGCTCCACCGTAGGTCTTCATGGGTGGCAGGGGGGGGCGCCCTGCCATCTCACCACAGGATACAGGGAGGTCTCTGCTCCGGCACACCTCCCCCCTCCTTTCTTCCTCCATTCCTCCACTGACCTTGGTGTTCATGCAGCTGCAGCAACTCCTCCTCACAAGTCCGACTGCTCGTCACCACGTCCCTTCTTAAATGCGTTATTGCAGTGGCGCAGCTGATTGGCTCAATTTTCGAGCAGAGGTGGAGCTGACTTGGAGCTGGGGGAGCTTCGAGAAGCTTCTCATAGGGGGCTGCCCTTACAGCCCCCTCCCCTGCTATCCAAAAACCCTGCTACTCACTCAAACCCAGGACACCTGTATATCAAAGACTCAAAGAAGAAATACAGTCTTCACTCTGTTGCTTTTAAAGCTACTGTCTAGAGTTAGATGGGAATTTTTGCTCCCTTTCTTCTCTACAGACTAGAATCTGTTGTGGTACACCAAGGAGCATCCTTTGCTGAAGAGCCAGGGGGCATCTCATAACTACTCTCCATTCTGAGAGGCAGTGTAAAGACTGAATTTCTATCCTAGAGTGGAAAGTACAAACACCTGCCCAAAATATAGCTCCTATAAAGCCCAGGGGAATGTTACAAACAAAAACATTTCCAATCAAGAATGGCAAACTGCTGTGCTAGAACTCCAAATGCCAAAACTACATGTACGGACATTTCCAAATACAATGTAAAAAATTTTCAGTCTCTCAGCTCTTTATTTGCTCCAGAGAAAATAAATACCAAATAGTTTATTTTGCCTAAGCAGTAGCATTTTTGACAGTGTATCTGTGGAAGAACTCAAATTTTTGTGTTTCATGAAACAATCCTCCCAGTTTTTCCAGAATAGTTTAAATAGTATTCCTCCTCAGAATTAGACCATTTTGTAGGTGATTATTATTAATGGAGTTTTTTCTTCTGTTTATTGTGGTTGAACAACTTCAAGAGTTACTATTATGTCAATGTGCAGATAACATACAAAGAACGATTAAGAGACTACTGAAGTAAAGTTCAACTCCTGCCTTTAAACATACTCCCTTTCTAAGGGATGCTCAAAAGCATTCTTGGAAAACCCCCTGCCAAAAGAAAACCTATTAACATACTGGGATGCTATCTAGGAGTTAAGCCTCAGACCAATGTAAAGCTGGCAAAGCAGTTAGTTGCAGCATCAGAACAGGCATGGAGAGTCAGCCAAGGCCTTGACTGTCT